AGCTAACTCAAAGGTCCTTAGGCAGGAAAGAGCTTGGGTGTTCTAGAAAGTTACTAAAAGCTAGAGCAGAGCAGAGAGATTGGTGTAAGATTAGAGAGATAAATGGAAGCTGGGTTCCACAAAGCCGACTTTAGGAGTCTGGAATTTTCCTGCTGTATTAGGAAGCCATGGAAGACTTTAAGCAGGGTGGCCAAGAGTCCTCCTTTTCTTTTTTGTTATAATTATTTTTAGCAAAATTATCTTTGTAACAAAAATAAAATGATACAAAATATACTTATTGAAGAACCAATGTCTTTGCCCCACTCAGAAGCAGTGAAATCCAACTGTTTATTTTAGTACTGTTTCTAAGTAATATGCTTATGCAGCTGTTTCTTTATCAACTTTAGTCTGTATCTGTTGATTTCCTGATGTGATTGTTGACCGTGCATTCATAATCCCTTACCTGAGCACCTTGGGGTCAGATGGACTTTGGAATTCAGGAATTTTCGGGTTTTAGAAAGATGAAATGGTGCATGTTTACCACACATTACACGGTGATCCCTGGTAGAGTCTTGAGCAAAACTTAGTTTTGGGCAGTAGCTTGCGATCAAACACGTTACTGTTACAGCAGAATATATAAATAGTCACACCAAGTGGGATATATAGAGATTATGTATTGTTTCATATAAATTCAGGTCAGGCTTTGTTGTTAAAATGCATTTGGTGTTAATGATAAATTGTTAATTTTTTTAAAGAGCTTTTTTTCGAGTTTTGGAATTTCAGATAAAAAGTTGTAGATTGGTGTTTATTATTCTCCTGTCCTCCAGTGTACATACACTCACACCCTTAGCCACTACACACACATGGACACGTGCTCCCTTGGTACCCCCAATATGATTATGTCTTTCATTGTTAAGTAGGTAGTCAATATTTACATTATTTTGGCTCATAACTGAATGAGGTATAATTTGTATAGGGTTTTGTTTTTGGTTGGTTTGTTTTGAAGTAATCGCCTTCTTTCTATTTGCTTTGTTTTCTACACACTGCTGATGCTCCCTGGATAGTCCAACAGAAGTATAAAATTTCTCTTATTTTTTTCTTCACATTTTCAGATACCTCATTCCTTTTCTCTCTCCTGTAGTCCTCTGTCACTCAGTTTTACTGACCTTGAGAGGCAGGTCTAGATATAATTGTCACTGTTATGTTGGATTTCTAGTTTTCTGACTCTCAGGTCATTTTCTTTCTTGATTTACTACTTTGTTTTTCCAAAACACACTTTTTATTAACTTCTC